CAAGTATCTCACAGGCTTTAACTTTCCCCAAAGGAAATCACCAGGTTTGGTTCATTGAGGTATGAGGTGTTGGCTTCAAGCCCATTTCCTTTCGAGCGGAAACCATCAACCACAAGGTTGGGCTTTTTCATTGAGGTAGGTATTGGTTTTCCTTATAACAGGAAGACAGAAAAAAACACAAGGTGTTACTAAGGTGTTGGCTCTCATTACTCCTCAAGGACGCATTGAACAACCTTGGGACACCTGCGCAGGGGCTCAAGCTTGCCCGGGGCATGTACAACACTCACGGCAGTCATGGCGCCTTTATTGGAAGCTGGGCGCGTGCTCAACAGTTCCTCGCAGGAGTGTCAGTTTTTGTTCTTCTGTGTTTTTTTTTGAACTGGCAGTCAAATCCTTTCTTTTTTCTGGGTTTGCAACGAGTGGATGTAGTTGCCAACTTGCATTGAAGCAACGCGTTTCGCGTTTCGCTTTTTGTTTGAGCGTCATGGGCTCATCTGAGCGGCCAAAACGCGCGGACCTCAGAGCTTGAGCAAAGGTTCGGAGAAATCAATGAGGTTCCCTTTGGATGGGTGCGTGCCTCTTGTCTTTGACGGTGCCCTTTTGAGGAGTTGCTTTAAAGGCGAAGAGCGGGAAACCGCCCTTTCTAAGATGGGGACAGGGTCGCCCCCCCCCCCTCTTAGTAAAGCCAGACACTGCAATTAGACCCATGTAGTCAGGTAACCCTTAGTTGGTGTGGGGCCCGGTTAGGATTTGGAGTTGAAGCCCTGCTTCTTAAGGGAAAACGGGGCTTCCCAATTCCGGGAACGCCAAACCCACGGACTCGGCTGAAGCGCCAGCTAGGAAGCTGAATCGAATTTTGGAGGTTCATGGGTCCCGTTGAGGCAAGTCTGATGGATTCTTTGGGACCATCACCCCCTGCCAAAATGTGTATCAATGAAATCAAGAAGCCCTGAGAAAAAAAAATGGGGATCCATAAAGGGGTTCCAGTTTTGGGCCAGTTACACGATTAAAAAAGCAAAACAACAATAAACGTCGGGGCAACTTGCCTTGCGATTAGGCTCTTGCCAAAAGCTGGATTTAGCTCAGTCTCAAGTCGACATTCCGTATCTACACCCCTAAGTTGGAGCCCATTCCATTCGCTCGCGATCTTGAATCCCCCCCTTCCATGTGCGTTTTGCGCTTCTTTGGTCGCTTGGCCAGGAGTTCAAGCCGGCGGCCAAACCGTCTTGAACTTTTTGCCAACTAATGGGTTTCCAATAAACCACTAAAAGTTAAACTTTTAGCAGGGGAGCAGAAAGCAACCGAGTTTGGTTAGGGCAACCTCTTTGGGTGGTTTGACAGGGGCACCAAAAGGCAACCATGCATTTTGGGGGTACCCCCAGTTTGACACACACACACACACACACACACACACACACACACACACACACACACACACACACACACACACACACACACACACACACACACACACACACGCCCGTATGGTCAACGCAGCAAACCATGCAGCATTGAGCAGGCTTTCCGGCCTTCCCTTTTAAGCACAGGACGTAGAGGCATCTTGGGGCGGGTGAATTGGCAACGCCACACGCGTTGGAACCTCGATTTTTCACTCGGACGCCTCGCTATGCCCTATGCCCGAACATGCTGCGTTGGTGCAACCGATTCTCATGTAGCTGGTGCAGGTGCATCTTGAGATTGTGATTTTTTCCTCCATGTCCCGTTTTGGCACCTGCAAAAGTGGCGATCGTTTCAAGGGAAAACCCTCTCATACTGTGGGTGGGGGTGGACGAACTCCTGCACTTTGAAAGCATCGGAAACCACGGTTGGTTGGTGCTTACATGGGAATCAGCATTCCAGGGATTCGTAGCTGCGAACTGGAGTTCGTCCATCATCCGAGGAGCGTTGGGCCGGCCCCTTCCTTGGGCCAAAGCGCAGGCAGGAGGGGCGGGGGGGGGGGAAGGGGGGCCGGGGGCCTGGATTGATTTTGCGAGGAGTTCTGCCCATCGGTTCGAGAACATAGGATCGGCGGAACGTGCGGTGGCCATAGGTGCCCCTTTTTAGGTGACTCTGGCGATGGGATTCCACTTTAGGCTGGTTTTGTTCCATTGGCTCTTTGCCATCTCTTTGCCCAAAAAGGATCCGAACGTGTCCAGATGGCGAGCCGATGGGTCTTCTTGCGCAAAGAGTGGCTTGCGAGTTCCGGCATCAAAGGGTACGCTGCAGAGATGAGGCTCGGCAAGCTTGTGCCAGTCTAAGACTTGGGTGTTGCATGGGCCCCCAGACAAGTGCCCGCGCGCCGACGCATTGGCACTCCCAGCCGCATGCACGCCAAGCTGGGATATCTTTTGAGTTCGCTACATGTCTTCAGGTTTGTTCTCTACGAACCAGAAGCTGCAAACAGATCTTCTAGTTGCGTTTTAACGTCGAGCTCGGTAGAAATGACTTCATCACCCCTACTCTTACCCCTCCACCAACCCCATAACTTCCATTTGCTTAATCATATGTTGTATTTCCCCCTGTTGGTTTTGAAGGGAATCTGGCACTACTGGAAATACTTGGTTTTTTTTCTCCAGGGGGCTTAAGCAAATTGATGATAAGGCAACTTCCATCGCCAATTGCGGTACATGCAGCTGCCAAAGCCGCTATGGCCTGCGTGGTGGACGACGTCAACGACCCGCGTCTTGCAGGCAGCGAGGGGTGTTGGTGGCCCGTTGATGTTTTGCCCCTCATCTGTTCTGATCGGTCAAGGAAATGATGGAGCCCAGGCCAGGTGAAACCTTTGTGCCATCTTGGAGTAGGTCCTTCATTTTTCGAGGGGGGGAGAAACAGCTTGTATTAATTACTCCTAGGTTGATTAACCCGTGGTCGGTAGAGACGCGCTTTAAAGAGTCACTGGCCAATGCCGTTAAGGCTTCACTGGCACAGGTCAATGCGCTTGTCGCTAGAGGCGACTGGGTCAACTTTGGTGTAGCCTCCCATGATATTGCATCAGTACGCATTGGGAATTACCTGGACCTTGCCAGAATTTCCAATTCAGCTGGTGTTTCCACCAGACAACTTCCAGTATCACCACATTGGAGTTCTTTTTCTCATGGACATGATTGAGAGGGGCTGGCCAACTAACATGACTTTTATTGGGACGACATTTCAGGCACCCTCACTAGCAATCTTGACTATGACATTTTGGGGTATCCTTATTGCAGGCTGGCAAATTGCGGAAATCACCCAAAGATGTGGCTCTCCTTTGCCTGGCCTTTGCCTCAGCGAGTTCGTTCGCCCATGCCAAGCGTTTCGCGCAGGGAAAAACATCCAAATCATTGGGCGCTAGGCGCTAGGCAGCTGGAAAGGTTTGAATCAGCCAGGACGCCACAGCTGCTCTTCACATTGTTCTTGTAGGGCGCTTTGCCTATCTTCTGTTTAGTCACTTGTGGGCAAACTTCATTTGGGAGGAGCGAGCAATTCAGTGCTTTATGGCAAAAGAGGGCAAACCCGAGGCCCAAGGATAAGATGGCTTACCTTAGAGTGCTTGTGAAGGGCAAGGTGTCCTTCACCTTTGGATTGCCAACTGCCACGGCAGTGAGAACGTTGCGGGGCTCTCACTTCCTGAGTTCATGAACTTTAAACTTTTTGGGAAGACCATTTTGGTGGTAAATATAAAGTTTGGACTTTTTTGGGGCCATCCACTCAGCCAGTGGCTTGATAAGCCTTATTTCGGCGGCAAAGGACTAAGAGCTAAGGATAAGAGGCTAAGTAAGGCCCGCAAACTGGGCGCATTCACCAAACTTTTCAACGGCGAGCTGGATATTTGCACGCGTCTCCGCGGAAAAAGAAGAAGAAAAAACAGAAAAACAAAACACATCTAGGTCCCACAGTCCCCTTCTATCCCCCTTTTTTGGGGAGGGTTTCCCTAGTAAAATAGACAAACCCGAAAAAAAGTTGGCACCAACTTATTCTAATCTCTCTGCTGGAGGACCAAAAAACAAACATCGGGCAGGCTTCCGGGATGTGAAGCGCTGGCGGTCGCCTGCGATACTGGTGGAGGGTTTGGAGGCCGCAGTTCGGTTCGGTCGATGAACCGCAGACTCGCACATGGCGTTAAGTTCATCCAGAGAGAGGGATGGTTTACTGCCCAAAAGGCTGTTTGGAAAGACATGTTTTGTTGTAAATACAAAGTTCAGGCTTGTTTTGGCCAGTCCACTCACGAAGTGAGTACTACAGTATTCAAAGATATTCAGAGCCCTCGTTTAGCACCCACTTTGGCAGGGGGGCAAAGTCAGGGAAGTTGCTGGTTGTTGGACCATTGTCTCGGTGTGGGCAGGTGCTGTCGCATGCTTTGCATCCTAAAATGTGCGGTAGCGTGTTTTGCCCAGGATGCTTGAAACTATACTTCAGCATCCCAGTCTTGGAGCTCAATCATCATTCCCATTCCTCCTAGGATGAGTGGTCATGAATCTTAACTTGGGACCCGTTGAGCAGACAACACCATCTCTAAGCCTAGCTGTCTGTTGAACCAACTCCATCGCCGGAGTTGGTTAAGGGGAGAAGGTCCGCAAAAAACTCAGTTGTTTAGTGGCACCCTTTTTCCTTTTTGTTTGTTTTTTGGGTGGCTGCCCCACTAAAAATGGTCCAAGCCCCAGTCAAGGGTTCCCTTTTCCAGGGCCACTGAACAGGTCCGCTTTGCCTTGAGCTGGAGGCCGTGCGGATGCTGCTGAAAAGCCCCTATTGCTGCCCCCTGGCCGCAGCCAAGTGTACGGCTGTGGTGGTCAACACCGTTTTGGGATCCCATGGGGTAGGTGAATTCACCGCCCATTTTAGTCGATTTTTTAGGTCTATTTTAATGGGGGTTGGGATGTCCACTGAAAATACGATTTGGATTTTGACCCACAGCCATACCTGTTGCTCGCCTTTAATGTTGACAACAAAATGAATCAGCCAACCCGTTTATGAAATTTGGGGGGTGCCACCCCGCAGTTGCCACGCACTTTTGCTTGCCTGAAATGTGGGGTTCGCCTTTCCCCCAGTAGTGCCCTTTCACTCTTTTTTTTGGGGAGGGTTCCCCTACTAAAACCGACTGCAGAAAAAAAGGTACCCTTCTTCTAACCTCTCTACTGGAGGACCTAGTTGAGCAGTTTGAAAACGCCCTTGCCACAATTCTCCGGACCTTTCTCCACCAGGCTTAGGGAGACGTAGCGCTGGAGGGAAGGTCATTGGTTCGAGGCACCGAGCTTCTCGTCCAGAGCCACATGCTCGCAGATCTGGAGGGCTTCTTGGGGGAGCAAGTTCTCGTATGCAGCTTGGCCGTCATGGAGGACGGAGCTTTGGTCGCGGGCCGCACTCTCCGGCAGTTGGTTTGGCAGCGGGTCAAAGATAGGTACCCAAAGAGGAAGCCTGGTAAGTGGAACCATGGACTAAAACTTGCGGTCCGATTCCTGGTGGTTTAATGTTGACCCATACCCATTTGGGGATGGGCTTGACCCCATGGGCCATCCCTTGAAGGAGTCTTCACATTTGCCATGCCGGGACCACGAGAGACGGTCATAGTTCATTGCCACGCACCCGGCGACTGAGAAAGCTGGACGATGCGCTGTGCCCTCTTCCAAGCGGAGCATCACTCACTAAAAACTTGACTGCTATTGGGTTGGATCTTTAGATTTCAACTGTTTTGTTGAAATAAAGTGAAATAAAGGTGTTTTCCAATAAACCCCCACAAAGTTAAACTTTTTGCAGGGGGGTCAACAGCAACCAAGAAAAAGTGCGGTTCTTTGCTTACAGCTTTGCCGGTGAAAAGAGTCGCTGAAGGGAGGCACGGGACTCCGGGACAGAAGATAAACACCATTAGTTGCTGCACAAGCAGTTACATTCTATCCATCTCCCTCCTTCCTTTCGACCATGGATAACGTAATGCGTGAGCAAGGGCCCAAAAGGTTAGCAATTGAGAACATGAGCGCATGCCAAAGGTTCATAAAGAATATAATATAACGGAATACTGTAAGTTTTGCACAATGCTCTTGTAGCCATCGTAACATCAGAGGATAGTACTTAGTTACTCGCCGCGTGATCAGCAGCTTCATGGAAAGAAGCAAGCAAAGGTTACTCGTACCTGTCGTGCAGTTCGTTTGCTTCGCAATGCCTTTTTTGAGATACCAGTTGTCTTAAAGGGAACCCACCAGAGAAAACGTAGTTGCGGGATTCCACATTGGGAGAACCCACAGCTTTTGGTTTCAGGAGGCTACTGGCGTGTCGGTGCCATCGAAAGCTGCCAGCCTGTGCTTTGCGCGGGCGGCGCGCTTGCCGCCGAGTCTTCCCTCGGGCGATTTGCGCCGCGTGGTGGTGCTGGACGGACTGACGGATGCCACCAATGTGGGGAGCATCGCGCCGCTCGCTCGCGGCTCGTGGGAAAGCAGTTGGCGAGCGGGGAGATGAATTCACCCCACATAACTGGAATTGGGGGGAACGGAATTTCGAGCCCTGGAGCTGCATTTGTGGTTCATATCATATCTTCCCTGACTAAAATGTCCTACAAAAAAAAGGGTACCCTTCTTCTAACCTCTCTACTGGAGGACCTAGTCTTTTGTGGGGAAGACTAGGCGGGGAGATGCGGGCGTTCAAGTCCCATGCCAGGGTTTCCCCGCGTTTGGGAGCCGTTTCGGCAGTGAGGACCCTGGAAAGAGCGAAGGAGTCCGGGGCATCTGCTTTGTCGTCTCAAGTTCAATGGACAAATAACTTGGCCATCCCCTTGGCTTTTTAGCTGTTTAGAGTTTAGTGGGGGGTTTCCATGTTAATGTTAACCCCGGATTAGTAAACCCCTGGTTGATTAATAGGGTGTCCCCTTTTAGTGGAGATTCACTTTTGGAGGGAACACCCCCAAAATTAATGGGACGGGTTTAATCCTGGGTCAACACTACCCACAAATCAAACGTTTTGCTGGGGACCTGAGGACGGCCCAGGG